TCCATTCCTCTGCCCTTCCTTCCACCCCTCCACCCCCTCTCTATTTACAAAGACTTTGTTTCTGTTTTTTTCCTTTTCTCATATTTATTCCTTTCATTTTTGTATTGCTGCTTTCAAGATTTTGTCTTTGGTTTTTGACAGTTTTGTGTTTATTTTGCTTCGACTTTTATGGAACTTCTTATATGTGTAAATTATCTTTTTTCATACAATTTAGGACATTTTCAGGTATTATTCAAGTATTGTTTCTGTCACTCTCTTGATCTTTTCTCCTTCTGGTACTGCCATTGTGAATTTGTTTGTACACTTGGTGTGTCCTACAGGTGTCTGGGCTCTGTTAGTTTTTCTTTATTCCTTTTTCTTTCTGTTCTTCAGGTTGGATAATCTCACTTGACTTCTCTTCAAGTTTACTTATTATCTCTTTTGCAAACTCAAGTCTACTAGTGACTTTTTTTGGTTTGTTTCACTTACTGTACTTTTCAAGTCCAGAATCTCCATTTGGTTTTTTTTAATTAACAAAAACCCTTTTGTTTCCTTATTGATATTCTTTTTCTTTTTTCTTTTTTTTTTGGTCCCGAGGATTGAACTCAGGACCTTGATCTTGCAAGGCAGGCAGCCCAACCACTGAGCTAAATCCCCAGCCTTCCTTATTGATATTCTAAATTTGAGTTGTAATTATCATCATACTTTTCTTCAATTTTTCAGTTTCCTAAAGGGAACTATTACATCTTCGGTTGGCCCTTATCTGCGTGCCCCTCAAAAACAGCTCCTATTGACATTTTTCTGGGTTTTTTTTTTTTTTTGCAAGTCTCATAACTTTTTTTTTTGGTTGAAAACTGGACATTCTAGATAATATGGTAACTCTGGATTCTCATTTTTTTTTTTCACTGTAGGGGTTGTTGTTGCTTTCTGTGTTTGTTTGCTTATTTGTTTAGTGATTTGTCTGGACTAATTCTATAAAATCTGCTTGCTTCTGAAGTATGTAGTCAGTGACATTACTGATTAGTTTTATTTCCTTGCTTTTACTTCTCAATTCTTCTTAAATGTACAGTTTAGTACACACGGTGGTTTAGTACATTCACAGATTTGTGCAACTTTTACCTCTACTTAACTTTAGGACATTTTCATCATTTTGCAAAGAAACTCTGTCCTCATCAGCAGCAATTATTTGCTTTTTTTTAAAGTCAGTAGATGTTGGAGGTTAGCCCATGATTGGTCAGAGGTTGTACATAAACCCCTCCAGCAACTCAACTCAAGGTCCTACATATTATTGTTTGGTCTCGGGGTGACTTGAGGAATGCCTTCGATGTTTGGGGAGATTTCTTATACTCCTGAAGATGTTCCAGTCCTTGTGCCCATTCTACTCTAGGGTAGCAGCCTGCCTTACCCTGAAATTGAGTTTCTGAAGCATGGAGCTGGAGCAGAGGGGAGATGAGTCCCCTCAGTCTACCTCTTCTACATCCAGAATGGAATTTAAGTGATACAGCCTTGGGCGTGGGAGGGAGGAGCAGCCTCTGGCTTAAATGCCAAGATTCAGTAGATTTTCTCAAATATATTTATTTGTATATTTATATGCTTTATGATACGTTTCCTGAGACTTTAAAAGCTTTTTTAAAAAAATTGTCCCGTTTTATTGCTGCTGTTTTTTTTTGGGGGGAGGGATAAGAAAACCTGCCAATCTCTTTATATGGCAATTATAGAAAATAAATGAGATTTAATGACAAAAGATTAAATGATATATTTAAATATTAAAAATTTGGAGGGAGGGCTGGGGATTTAGCTCAGTGGCACCGAACCTGTCTTGCAAATGCAAAGTCCTGAGTTCAATCCCTGGTACCAGAAAAAAAATATTTGGAGGGAATTTTCCTGGGGTTATTGTTATTTCCATCTTTCACTATATTTTGGTTAAACTGATTAAAACACTTTTTTAATGTTTCTAATTATTTCAGATAGGAATAATTCATACATTTTGATCTGCGACCCAAGGAAACTTAACATTGTCACTTCATAGATGTGAGAAATATGACTAGGACTTCACTTGTAGTTGGATCAGAATCCCTCATTTCGATTTTTTTTTCTTTTTCCATTTCGATTCTTAACATTTGAATTTGTACCATGTTATCTAGCTTCAAATGTGAAGACTGACACTAATGTACACATGTAATTAGTTCCACAGTATCACAGTCTGAGAAATATACAGTATTGACATTATCTTGGTATATAGGATCTGTGGAAACAGAATGACATTTAAATTGCTAAGTTAGTGTTGAACTCTAGTATGAGCTATATGATTTACAGTGGATCAGGTATTTTTGTCCATCCATAAGGCTGTCTTGTCCTTGTAAGAAGAATCTGAGTAGCTCTGGTCAAAGCCATCAACTTCACATTTGCATTGTCACTATTGGAATTTTGTGTTTTGTCTGTCTTTGCTCATCTCCTCTTGATTATTATTATTTGGCCAAATTTTTTAATGTAAGAATGGGTCTCTCTTTTTTTGAATCGACTTCTCTTATTTCCTGGTTTTAGACCAGAGCCTTCTACTTGGGCTTGGGTTTCCTTCAGTGCACTCTACTTTTTGATACTATGATATGAAGCATTTTTGGCTAGGTTTCAAAAACCAGAAAATTTTAATTTTTTAACACATACTATAATTTTAGTTGGCCAATGTTTGCTTCTAAACAAATGCTATACCTTACCAGCATCTGTAACTGTTGACCTTTAGAGATCTTGTTTAGTGACTCGTTCATTCTATAAGAACAAGATACCCAAGAAATGTATCAGGAAGGAAAGCCATCAGCTGAAAAAGCAGAAGGCTTGGTAGTGAGTAGAGAATGAACAGATGGCAGAGAGGGGAGTCTACTGGCTGGCTTGTGCCCACTCACCTTATTCTTTCCCAGCACCTTGTTTTCCTATCACGTTACTATCCACAGCTCCAAGTGTGAATCAAACTACCACCATTTGCCTTCACCTTCCTTACGAAAAGCTCAATAAGTGTGGTTTGGAGCCACTACAAATTCCTAATATCCAGCCCTAGCCTTCTGCTTTCTTATTAAAAAGCCTGTGGTTTGCTTCCTGTAGTGGCCATTTAATAGCTCTGTCCCACTGCATGGTCACATTAAGAGACATGCTGTCTCTGCTTTCTGCACCCCCAGTCTCCTAACAGATGCCAGCTCTCTGCAGAGACTGTCTGGACAGTCTTGGTTGTCACAACTCCTGACACATAGTAGGTATTCAGGAACTTTTAAAACTTGAATCTCTAAATTAACCAACAGGCTTTTGTTGTGAACATCTTTTAGAAAAATCTGAAAGTAACAAAATAGAAAGAAAGGGTAACTAAAGCTGCATGAATATCTTGGTTTTCTTACACAGACACAAGCTCAGATAATTTTGGATACAACCTGTTGACGTTCATCATCTTATACAACAATCTTATTCCCATCAGTCTGCTGGTGACTCTAGAGGTTGTGAAATACACACAAGCCCTCTTCATAAACTGGGTGAGTATCCATACAGAGAGAAATGCCTATCACTACTTTCCAATACTTTCAGAGCCTTTGTCATTGAATTGAACTTCTAAGAAAAGAAGAATAGAGAACATTTATGATTAGGTCTGAGAGTTAAGCTGACCAAACAGATAACTGGCTTGAGATGCTGGTGAGGGTGTATCTGAGAAATAGAGAAGACAGTATGCCTACCTGTTCCAGAGGTGGTTGTAGAGACAGTATAAGATTGTAGAGGTGGGATGCTCAGTGGATGCTTAGCTATGGATGCGTCTCATGTCTCACCAATGCAAGGATGGCCACTTTGGGATGTTTGCTATTGTGTTCATTATATATAAAAATTCATTGTGACAATAAACTTGTATTTGACTGTAAGAATAGAATTGGGATATTTTTATGTTGGGAATTGAACCCAGGGCATCATGCATGCTAGGCAAATATTCTACAGTTGCAGTGAGTGACCACGAACAGTGTAGAGGATGAAAAAGATTACTCGGAGAGGATCAGAGGAGCAATTTCTCACCCAAGAGTGCCAAGCCATTAGGAGGACTCTCTGGAGAAAAAAAAGCCACTGAGCTGAGAACTCTCTGTTTTATTTAGACTATCGATGTAAGAGAAAAAAAACAGAAAGCAATTTGGGGTAGGAGCTATCTCAAGGCTAAGCAGTTTTTCTTGAGGAAAGGGGCAGGACAAATGGCCAGGCACAACATGTTTCATTTAATTTAAACTTTTTGTTGCTTGACCATTTGATTCTCACATAGCTTCTGTACTTTTGCCTTGTACTTTAACAATTCACTCCTCATAGGGCCTATGTGCTTTTGTCCTGCAGTTTAATCAGTCAGTTTAATCATTCGCTCCTGGCCAGGTCCCCCACATTTCCCTCTTTTTTGTTTTATAAAATCAGGGATAGGGAGAAAGAGAGAAATATAGTGTAGATGAGTATTTGTTTTGATGTAGGAAGGTCATCATGGCCTCGGCATGGAGCGTCTGCCGGAATAGTATATAAAGGGCCTTGAGGACGGTAAGAAAAAACAACAAACAACAAAAAGATAATTCCAATAGTAATGAGAATCCAAATGTGAAGGTTGAGGGCAGAAAACCAATTTTGGGGATTTAGCCAGTAGGCAATATCATTAAGGTGAGTTAAGGTGATGTTGCCAGCTTTCACTTGTAATTTATGAAGTTGGGCCTGTAGTCAGCCCTGGAGATTAGTAATATCTCCATCCAGATTTGTATGAAAGACACCATGGAGAAGTGTTGAACTTCCTCTTAGGACTATGAATTGTTAAATGGGATAGATATGATGCACACAGAACAGTAATCGGTATCACAACTAAGTTGACTGTGTGTCCAAACAGCTTGCTGATGTTTGTTGAGCCAGCCAACTGTCGCTTTAAGGACATCAAGTTACTATAAGATTTTTTATCAGTGTTGGTCTGAGTACCATAATATGAATAATGTTTGAGAGATATTAAAAATTATTTATATATCATTGGGGGAGGGAAAGGAATACAATAACTACTGTTGGTGATATTGGAACTATATATAGTGGAATTTCTTTTGTCAAGCAATAGCATTTGTGAGGTAACAGGTGCCAAATATTGTAATAACCAGAGTGGCTACACTCCCTCCTATGGTCCCTTAAGGGGCCAGGAGGTGGCAGTTAAGTTTTGTTTGTATATGAGGTATCATTAAAGGAAAGATGATTTTGGACCTTTCCATGTAACTATATGTAAGACAGGTGATGTAAGAACATGAGCCCAATAAACCATCTCATTTACTTGAGGTGCATATGTCAGCAAACTCAGAAAGATAAGGAACCTTTTTACCTTTGGAGTTGTAAGTCACTTATGTGATCTTTGTAAGAAACAGGCTTTCAGAAGTGAAAAAATTCTTGTGCTTTGCAGCATCTGTATAGCTTGAGTGGTGAGTTGCCTTTTGTACTGCTGTGAAACCTTCTGAATCACAATCTAGAAAATTTTAAATCTTATTAAATTAAATTACAGTCTTGGTCGATATATTGATCCATATTCCCCCTTTTTGTTTTACAAATCAAGTTCTGAGGAGCTCATTGGCTTGTTTTATAATGGCTCATCTCGTAAGGTTGTGAGGGATATTGGTGACATATTTAACATGTCAGAGTTGGAGGAAAGTTTATAAGGAAATTGGCGTTCCCCTCTATTAGAGGGCTAGGGAACATATGAAAGAGCATCTCATCATTTTTATTATGAATAAGGGCAGTTTTAATCACTTGTAGAGTCCCCACAAAATAGGCCAAATCAGCAACAATATTGAGAGGTTGAATCAGGGAATTGTTATTTTTTATCAATTATGGTTGTCTTAGAAGTTGAATTCCTGTAGAATGTTAATAGATAACAATTATAAAGTTTTATAGAGAAAATTTGAGGTCAGGGGTAACATGACACAGTTTCATAACAATCATGATGACATCGTTACATTAAATGATATGAAAAAATTTTATTCAAATTTGTCATTTTTCAATAGTGTCATAAGAAGAATGCATTAGTACATAGATGTATTTCATGTGATATTGTTTGGACGGTACAGTGTTTGAGCATTTTTAAGTGTTGTAACATAAATATATAACATACACATAATAATCATTTAGGCATAAATCTTGAAAAACTATTTGTATCTTTGAAGACCTGTACATTTGGGAAACAATATTTAATATATTTAATATACCATGAAACTAGCAATAATGAGTGTCACAAATTAGGCTGGAACTTCCCCAGGAGGCAGCTTTGTCTTATTTTTTGTCACTGATCAGTCTAAGTGCCTCCGTTAGTCGTGCAGAGAAATTCGTGTTTAATATTAATTTTGGAAACCTTTGTCAACCAGAGAGGAGAACTGAGACCTGGGAAGGAGTGAGTGATCGGACCAGGGCTATAGCCCCCTAATCTTTGAGCAACAGGGAGATTTCAGAAGAAATAGTCTGGGCTCCACCAAACTGACAAGCAAATATATATATTTCTTTCTATAAACTGCATACCCCACAAGATTTTTCTCGACATATTTGAGCTTTCTAGTTCTGTCATTATCTCTCTCTTTATCTTCCTGGCAAGGCAAAACTTTTATCATACAAAATCCTTTCATATCAAAGGTATATCTCTTATACTTATAGCCTTCTTCATATATTTTTCTCTGTCCTACCTACTACGAACTTCTCATGACAAACTTGGCTGTGGACACTTGGATTTTAAAGTGTTCTTCTCTGTCTCCCCACCTCCTTTGGTCTCAGATTGTTACCTTTTTAGATCTGACTAGCTGCCAACAGACTTTCAAATAATCTTGAATCAGTACTCGTTATCACCAGCAGAGAGCAGGGAGAAAAGCAAGTTAACATTGAAATTGTAATTTAAGAATTTATAACGCAGGGCCGGGGATTTAGCTCAGTGATTCCGCCGCCTGCCTCGCAAGCACAAGGTCCTGAGTTCGATCCCCCATACCAAAAAAAAAAAAAAAAGAATTTATAGTGCAAAAGAAATATTTTAAGCATATTAATTAAACAAAAATACCAACTTAAATTAGAAGCCAAAAGTAAATGTATCAGTTAGCTAAGATTTGTAACAATGGGCTCTCATGCCACAGCATGAACATTTTATGATTGACTCCCTGTTTTTATTGAGGGGTTGGGGAGCTGTGCTTTTCTTTCTGCTTTTTTTGTAAGAGGGTTCCCCTCATTATCAGATTTGGCATTGATTGGCTCAATGATATCATTTTTAACATTTAGGACATTTTTGTTTTGGCTCAGTCTCTTTATCATGCTCGTTTATTTTTATAGTCCTTTGAAGATGTCTCTTCTTGCCACAAGTATAACACATTTGAGGCTTTACAGCAGCAGCAAGCACCTGTGTCTTATAGATCTTGGTTCTCACACTTGATAAACCGTAATCATTTTAGCAATATTTAAAATTTTTAAAGGATGTTAGGACTCTTTGACAATCAGCATTGGCATTTTTGTATGCTAGTTGAAGTAGGTCTTGACCATCAAGAGGGAATGTCTATATATTAATATTATGTTGTGGCTCACAGATGAGGTCATTTGGTCACTCTATGTTTGTTTTAGTTTTTCTTTCTTGTGTTGGTTTTGTTGTTTTTAAAACAATGGTTGCAGGTGTTCTATAGCTTTTGCGTGGACGGAGTATCTAGGTGGAGCATACTTTTGAGGCCACTCAAAAAATGGGTGGGACACATCTCCCTCCCTCCTAGGACCAGTTACATGCAGGCACAGAATTTCTCAAGCAAGCCCCAGATTGTAAAAGAAATGAATTTATTTGTCTAGATCCAAATTGGATTCCAGAGGCAGCGAAAGTGAGGCCTTGGTTAATATTTTTGTGAGAGCAGTGCTGCTAGGCACACCAGAGTTGAGAAGCTGTGTGTGTTTTTATTTTTAATTCATAATGGTTTGTCCCTGTATTATAGGCTTTTAATCTCATTTTTATGTTAATCTCTTGAATACCAATGAAAAACACCTTTAAATTATTGCGTATAGACAATAGGCATTGTATCCATAAAACCAATTTTGATATCATTTTCATTGGCTAACAACCTGAAAAGAAACATGTCATCAACTTTAATGGCATTTTTACTTTTACCAACTAATTTAAATTACCCCACTGTTAAGCTACGTAAACCAAAAGGCATTGGGTTAATATCATGAGTCTATTTACCGATAAATCAACTTAGGTAGGACTTTTTGGAGGATAATATATATCTGAAAGTTAACCCTCACACACATGGAAACATATATATTAGCCTAAATCACATATAAGCTTTATATTGCCAAACTTCAAGGCTTTTATTTGTAAGTGCCCTTTAAGTCTATTAGTTGTTGCTCTGTAATGAGTTTCATTTTGGCTCATTCTCTTAAAAGCCAGAAGTATATAAGGGCGAAAATAAAAGAAAAAGTAAAATTGATATGAGCTCAAAAGTCTTTACTGAAGCAGCTGTAGGTGCCTTATCAGTTATTAAATCAGATTAACAGGCAGATGAACAGGCAAGATAACATACAGAACACATAAAACAGTTATACTACTTCAGAGTGCACTTTCAGATGTTTATACCGTGGCAGTGAACCTTAGTAACAATACTGATACGAGTTTTTATTTTTTTCATAGATATGTCCCAGTTTAGCATATTTTATGGCTTGATTTTCGTTGTCTTTAGCTTTTTTGGTTTTCTTTTCTTTAGTTTTTATTTTATTCTATTTTTTTGCAGTCAGATGTTTTTAAGAGACATTGTAAATGTTGCTTACATTGTTTTTCCTTCTTAAAGTTCAACCCATATTGTAGGGAAAGCAGGAAAAATGAAAAGTAAAAGAGCAAAGTGAGAAACAAATGAACTTTCCCCTCTCACTTAGCAATTGGACAGGTAAAAGGCCTCTGGGCTGATAAACCTAACCATTGACCTCAAAGTAGCTTACCAGGCTATTCCGTGGCTGTCTGTGTTCCCTTATGCGGGAGAAGAGTTGGAGGCATCCTTGTTCCTTTTCCATGCTTGGGAGGTTGGTCCGCTTCACTGATCTGCAGCAACATGTTTTGCCTCACAAGGGACACCACTTATTTCAGTGAGCGACCAATGGCAGCATAGAGGATGAAAAAGATTCCCCAGAGACAAGGCTTAGTTTAGTCACTGAGAGGCCCAGAGAGGCCTTTATCTTCTTCCAGAGTCTCCCTGATGGCTGGGCGCTCTATGCTGAGAAATAGCTCCTCTCCCAGTAATCCTTTTCACCCTCTATGCTGCCTGGTTGCTCACTGATACACTCTACAACTGAGCTACAGCCCTGTCCCTATACCTGGATTTTTAAAAAGACTGTCATGACCTTGAAGCACTGGACTCCAGCAGTCAGTACTTAACAGACCAGGCACAGATACATTCATCTTTATTTGATCTTTCTAGCAGTTCTGCAAATGATATACTAAGTACAAAATCAGGAGTTAGTTTAAGTTATGAAATGATGGTCTTGAAACCAAATCTTCTGTGTATAAAATACTGTTTCCCCTCTTATGTACACTGTATTTTTACCCCCAAATAAAAAAGCTAGCATGTATATTAATATGAAAGGTTTTAAAAGTTACCTGTTCTTAAGCTTCTGTGTTAATCTGAATGAAGCATCAATGATACACATTTTCTAAAGTTCTCTTTCTTTCTCTCTTACACTCTTAGGACACAGATATGTATTATATAGAAAATGACACTCCTGCAATGGCAAGAACATCAAACCTTAATGAAGAACTTGGGCAGGTGAGAACCTCTTTGGGATCATTGGCAACAGTGACATAAGCAGGAGGGGAGACGGGTTAGCAGAACTATGGAGAGATTTTGCAAGAATAGTTATCCATGAACGTAGTTATAATATCCGAAGAGCTACATGGTATTTGCAAGTATTAATAAATATAGATGTCACTTGCTTTTGGCTTGCTTTTTGAGACACAACTACATCTTATCATCTAGAAGTTACCTGCAAAAAACGTAGTACAAAAATATGGTAGAATATAATTTTGGACCCTTTTAAAAAGTGCTTATCAGAGGCAAATGGCAGGGAAAGCAATGCATAAGGTTGTTAGATATCGGGTAACTTCACAAAATGTATGGGGCTGTCAGAAGGACATGTAACCTCAAGATTTTGTCTGTATTCCAGGGAACCAGTGATTTTAGCACCTTTACTCCAAACTCTTCTTGACTCTCCCGAGTTATACTTGACATTAAGTCTGCCTCTTCTGTTAAAATTGCTGCAGGGAATAATTTCTTTTAAATACATTATAATGAAGATTAGGATTTCATTTTATACATCTTAAACCTCCAATTACCCTATGAGGTGGGTGCTATAACTTCAATGTGTAGATGAGAAATGAGTGATTTACCCCAGAATACCTGGCTAAGGAATGACAGATTGGGGACTACAGATTATCCAAATCTGGCCTTATTCTTCCCTTACTGTTGTAGAAATGTCTCCCCCATCCTGTGTCCCTCTGTGAAGATCAGGTGAAATGTCTCATTCACCTGAGGATTAGAAAAGTATCATATGGAGGTACTTTATTTCTTTTTTATTTTCTTTTTCTCTTTTTTAAAGAAATAAATATTTCTTTATTTCTCTTTTCAAAGATACTGATTTATGTAGCATTGATGAATTTATCACTAGAATATTGAAGTTCAAATTTGTGTACCAAATTGTGTAATGAAATAGAATTCTATAGGCAAAAATGGTTGTGAGTCTGTTTCTTTGATATTATTTTCCAAATCTTTTTAGAGTTAATAGTGAATTTTTTTTTCTGTGTTTTCCTGAACTGTGCACATTTGCAGAAGTGCCCTTAAGTTTGTAGAGTAACAAGTGGATTGTGACTAGAGATCATTCCTAGCACAAAGCACAAATCCCAGCAAGGCCAATGTCACTCCAGGTGCATGGGGCAAAGGACAGTACCCAGAGCAGGCCGTGGACTTCCACTCCTTGTTGCTGTTGCTATTTTTCCTTGCATTTTCCTTTCTATAAAGATTTCATCATTTATAAAATCCTACTCCTATTAAAATTTGTACATTCTTGTTAGGTTTCAGACTGTATTTGCCTTCTCTAGTTTTCCAGGCAAGATTAACTTGCCTGTCTTCTACATTCCCATAACAATCTTCCCAAACATATATACAGTAAAATAAGAGATGGCACTAATTATCATACATCTGTTTTGTTCCGAGGACTTTTGAGCTCAATGGAGAGCAGGGATGTGCCCTGCATAGCTGGCCCTCTGTGTCCGTGGGCCCTTCATCCACAGCTTCAGCCAATGCTCCATTGAAAATGCAGCTGGGCCTATGAAGGTTACGTCAGTAACAAACATGGACAGACCTTTTCTTGTCCTTCTCCCCTAAACAACACAGAATAAGAACTGTTTGCATAGCATTTGTGTAGCACTAGGTATTATTATAAGTCATCTAGAGATGTTTGAAGTGGTACAGAAGAATGCACTTCGATTCCATGCAAATACTACACCATTTTGTAAAGGGACTTGAAGCACTCACAGGTTTTGGTACCTTAAGGGATTTCCTAGAATCAGTGTCCTGAGGATACTAAGGGATGACTGTATGTGGTGTGTGTTGCCTTTTTAGTTGTGCACAGTGCTCAGCATATAGTCGCTCTCAGGTGCCACTGCACTGGGCCTGAATAATTGAAGACTGAAAGTACTCGAGAAGCCCCCCAGATGAAATCACTCCCCTAATGGGATGTGGAGAAGTGTATTAGTCAGTTTTCCTCTTGCTGGACAAAAATACCTGAATCTGCAACTCCAAGGAGGAGAAGTTTATTTTGGCTCACACTTCGTAGGTTTCAGTCCATGGCTCTAAGGCATCATGGTTGAGCAAATCTGGTTCCTCGTAGCAGGTGGGAAGCAGAGAGCAGGGAAGGAGACTGAGAGGAAGGAGCTGGCAACCAGACTCGGTCCCCCAAGGTCATGGCCCCATGACCCGCCCAGACACATCCAGAAGTGAGTCTTAGTAATCTCTAGGCAACTCCCAAACCTCTCAAGTGGACATTTGGATAGATTTGAGTTGAACTTTAAGGATGACCTAAAATAAAATTCAATAGAGAATTTGATAGCAAATCTTGATAATTTCTTATTATAAAATTTTCGATTTTAATATTTGGATATAACCTTTTAATTCTTTTTTTCAAAAGGCAGAAGAAACCACTGCTTATTGGAAGGCAGATTCTACTGCCTATTTATGCCCTAGATTTACTCTATATAAAACTTACATAAAATGTATTAACATATAGTAATGAAACATTAATTACCTTGATTTAATTAGTGTGTGTTTTGTACATTTTTTGAAATTTCACATTGTACTTCATTAATATGTGTAACTATTATATGTTAATTAAAAATTATAAAAATATTTAAGGAAATAGATATGCTGACAACCCTGATTTAATCATTATACATTGTATACATGAATTGGATTATCATACTATACTTCCTAAATATGTACAATTAAAATAGAATAAAAATTTAAAGAGATTATTAGTAAAGCATAAATTACCCCTAGCATACTAATTTTAAATTTGTATGTAATATTTACCTTCTTTAGCAGCTTTAATAATTTTTCTTTACTTGGAAGTCCTTTGATTGCTTTAAAAATAATTCTCAGTGTATGTGTTTACATTATTTTATTAAGAAAAATTACACAGTAAGCAATTCATGTTATTAATCTCTTCTATAGGACTATAAAATACTGTTTCCTTAGACCGGTTCTCTAGGCTCTCTGGAAGTTTTCTAGCATACATCTTGATTCCTCTCTAGAAAACTACTAAGAAACTGAAGTTTTCTCTGGGACAATCCTGTAATCACCATCCCTTCCTAACCCATACCATGACATCCAGATGTGGAAGGATGGTACATATCTTCTAGCCAGACCCTTTAGCTCACCATGGTGGAAACTGGGGCCAAGAAGGATAAGGAGAATTTGTAAGCGTCTGCATGACTAGAGGGGTATGAGCACTAACTAGTCACTTTCCTCATAAGCCTGAGTTCTTTCCTTCTTCTTCACTATATTATTGATATGAGAGAGCATAATTTTCCCACCACATTTAGATTTGGAGCATGGCTCTTTTCTATTCAGCTAATATTGTCAGGATGGTTACTTTTGGTCTACTCATTGACATCCTTTTTCACCTTTGTATATCAAGAATGTCATGTTTTTAATCTGTTTATCTTTGCATCTTGAAAAATTGTATCACTTATACCAGATCCATTCTATCTTTATATACATTTTATCTGTGCAATCACTCTCTTCCCTTTTGTGCAGTGCTGGGGATCAAACCCAGCCTTTGCACATGGTTAGGCAAGTGCTCTACCACTGAGCTATATCCCGTGTCCTCAAGTGGTATCTTGAGGAATGAAATATAGCACTGAAATACCATTTGAAAGGACTTAATGCTCTCACTTATAGATAGTTCCAGGGCTCCTATGAAGCTTTCTTTGCATATTCCAGGACAATTTGACTGTAGAATTAGCTACAGAAACAGGTTTGTAACTGACCTAATAATTAAAGTATTTTTGTTGTTGTTGTTACTAACTTTACTTTCAGGAAATCTACTAATCTAAATTTAATACGGATTTTGAAAAATACAGAAGGAAAAACTTCATTTATTGATCTTTGCATCTTATTACACTCTTGGTGTGAATTTCTTTTATTCTTTGATTTAGGTAAAATATCTGTTTTCTGACAAGACTGGAACTCTGACATGCAATATCATGAACTTCAAGAAGTGTAGCATTGCAGGAGTAACCTATGGGTAAGTGTGTTTATGTTCATTACTTACTGGAAATTTCACTTGTATTTTTCCAGCAAAATAAATTTATTTTTAGCTATTTCATCAAGTATCTTGATTTTTTGATGTTTATGAGGGCTATAGATATATAGTTATGATTTAATGTATGTACTACTTAAATGAGTCCCAAATGGTAACTTTGAACAGTTAAAATACAATTTATTTCTACAAATACTAACTTAGTAAGAAATTCCAGTGAGTCTATAAATTCATATAGCTAAGCTAATGCTTGTAAATTTCTTACCTGTGTCTTGATCTGAATGCCTGTCTTTTGATCCATTTGTGACCAGTGCATTTTCCTCTCTGGCAGACATTTCCCAGAACTGACAAGAGAGCCATCCTCAGATGACTTCTCGTAAGTAGATTCTCACACTTCTTGCCATGTTAGTGCAAAAGGCTTCAGAATAATCGTATATTAGCATTCCTTATCTGAATATTTTATATGTAAATAAAAGTTGCATATATGTTATTTTGAAAGAAAATCAGAATAAGATTCAAACATGAACACAGTTTTTAAAGTCCATACTGCACAGCTTTTAACAAAAGTAGTCTGCCCGTGGTCTAGTGTTTGCCATTTCCTGGAAGCACCCGACTTTAACTTTTTGACTCTTCAAAAAATTTATGCCTGTATTTCCTAATTATATGTTGCCAATTTAAACATGTTTTAAAGTTGTAGACATTTATAGATTTTTTTTAGCCACAGAAGAAGTTTTAGCATAAGCTCCTCTATGTGTGACCTGTCCCTTGGCCCCTGGTCCCCCTGTGGCAGCCCTGTGGAAGCATTTAACATTGTTCCCATGTCCTTAGCATACTAACTTGCAACCATGACCCTTGAGGTTTGTTTTCCTTCACTGTGTTGAGCATTTAGTGGACTATTAGTGAGTGATTTCTGTCTGTAAATTTCTCTTATTAATTTTGGGGAAATGTCCTTACACTATTTTTATGACAGTTTTCCCTCCCCTCAACCTCCCTGTTTTGTCTGGGTCTGTTGTTAGGCAAATATTCAGTCTTTGAGATGATCTTCCAACTTCATTAACTTTTCCTCTCACTTTTCTTTTTTGTTGTTTTACTTTCTGATATTTTTTCCACCTTTTATCCTTCATGAGAATTTTCATGTTCCCATTTGCAGCTTTCAAAAGCACTTTCCTAACCTTGCACGCTCTTACCCTTTCCATTTCTTTTGCTCTACTCTCCTACCCTCAACTCCCACCCCGTCCCTCACTGTGTTGATTTGTTAATTTTATAGGCTTCTTGAAAAGCCTAGTGATCATTGGCTGTGTGTACATATATATTAAAATTATTTTTCTTTGTGGTAAATACACAAAACATAAAATCGACCCTTTTAACCATCTTTCATGTATTCTTAAGGAGGAATTTTAGCGCCATTACAAATTAAGAAAGATGCAGAGATTTTTTTCATGTGATCTGTGCCAACCCCCACACCTTTCCCCATCTATCAAAATCCCCCATCAGAGTGGTGTGTGTGTTACAACCGGTGAACCTGCACTGCTACATCACTGCCACCCAGAGTCCACACTTAGCACAAGGCTCACTCTTGGCACTATCTGTAGGTGGTGTGTACACATCATTATCACATCATAGGGTATTTTCACTGCCCTAAAAATCCTCTGAGCTCTGGTTGTTCAAGGTCCCAAACCCCAGTCCTTGCCAACCATTGATTTTTTCAGTACTGGGGATTGAACCCAGGACCTTCATACTGAGCTATATCCCCAGTCTTTTAAAAATGTTTTTATTTTTATTTTGAGACACAGTCTCACTAAGTCGCCTAAGTGACCCTCTTGGCTCAGCCTCCCAAAACTGGGATTTAAGGCATGCATCACTATGCCCAGTTCGTGACCTGATCTTCTTCTCACTGTCACCGCAGCTTTGTCTTTTCAAGAATGTCTTTGTTCTTTCCAGTTGGAATCATACAGTAGAGAGCCTCCTTTTGTGGGCTTCTTTCACTAGTAATATGCATTTAAATTTCCTTCATGTTTTTTTCATGGTTTGTTAGCTTAATTCTTTTTAGTGCTGAAAATACACCATGCTGAGGCTACTCTGGTTTACCCTCTCTAAAGGATGGGACTTCCCCCTGTATGGGTGTGGAGAGTCCTGTTGTCTGGATGTGTGGGATGAAGGAGAGTTCTTGCAAGCTGAGTGTTCTGTAAGTGGACTTGGAAACTATCTTGTCACGTGCTTTCCCTGTATATGGAATTAGCTTTCTGTTGCTGTGACAAAATACTGGCATAAATCAACTTGAAGGAGGAAAGGTTTACTTTGGCTAGTGGTTTCAGAGGTTTCTGTCCATGGTCACTTGGCTTCATCATTTCTGAGCCCGTGACGAGGCAAGACACATGATGGTGGAGGAAAGTTGTTCACCTCATGGCAACCAGGAAGCAGAGACAGAGAGAGAGGTCCCAGAGAGGAAAGGTCCAGGAACAAGACACAGTTCTCAAGGTAACAAACCATGGCCCTCTCCCTTCAACTAGGCCCCGCCTCCTAAGTTTTCATCTCCTCCAAGTAACATCATTCAACTATGATTTTACCAGTGGATTAATCCACTCCATGAAGTGAGTACCCTCACAATCCAGTCACCTCTCCAGGCATTTCTTCATCCAATGAAGTTGACAACCATGATTAACTGTCACTCTGTACCTCAAAGGTGCTTCATGTACCTCCCAGGTACCTCATGATGTCATTTCCTCAGTCTCTATGGGGTTCTGTGGGGGCATCAGCTCGAATTTTTAAGTGCTTGCCTTTAAAAGCTGTTGGGTGCTTTTTTTCTGTCCTGTATTACTTGTTGATTGTATTTATTCAGAATTAAAACTGACGTCAGCTATACTACCATCTTCTCTTTTATTCTCTCTGTCTTGACAAAGAATTTAAGGAGAGAGTAAAGATAAATGAATATACTTACTCTTTACATTTCTTCAGTATGGTAGCACACTGCCATTACATCAAGTTTCCTTTCTGGCCTTAAATGATTACCCATATACAATTCAGTAATTCCTCTTGTCTGCTCTGAGAAGACCTTCTTGGATTTTTTTTTTTTTCTGGTAGAAGTGATGCAGGGACCAACTGAAATAACAAAGTCATAGTATCAGTCATTGGCTTTTGTTTCTTTCTCTTGTAACTATGCTGTTGTGTATAAGAACTTATAAAGTATTTTATTTATAGTAGGAGTAAGGTTTTACTATCTTAAGGTTTGAAATAACACACAGTATTCCAAATCTTTAAAAGTTAACTACAAATCTATGGAATTATTAGATGTGGCTCTTGAAGTCATATTCTTACTGGGTCTGAGATACTATAACAGGATTCTTACTAGGTTTGAGTTATGTATTATATTGAATTGAATATATATTTTTTGTTTTCTCTTGCAGTCGGCTGCCTCCCCCCCCTAGTGATTCCTGTGACTTTAATGATCCCCGGCTGCTGAAAAACATGGAAGATCACCATGTGAGTCCATCACTTTACTTCTAAGACATCAAATAGCTTATAGTTCATGGTTATTTATATAACATATATGCATTGTCTTGAAAGTGGCAATTTTGGAGCCTGGGAAAAGGGACCATTTCAATTTTTATTGTGTTAGTCCTTCAGGCAGGTGATTCACAAAAAAGCTTTGTTGTGAGCACTACATAAATTAGTGTAAAGCTGAATTTAAGTAGGTGGTGAAGTTATAAAGTGGCACACCAAGGTCAAATCTCACCACAGAATCCTGTGATAGTTCAGATTTCTGTTGCTTTGTAAGATTATTGCAGTAGCATTTCTTTGCAGCTGTTAATCTAAGAGGCCATGTACCTTGAAATATCACTAGATAGCTTTTGACAAAGATACTTTTAGGAAACAAAAGCAAGATATAACAGGTAACATTTACTGCATTCTACTCTATGCTAGACACTCAACCTGTGTTTCCCTTAGCATTTGAGTCTCCCCTGAGAGGTAAAAAGGAAGGTGCATAAAAAGAATGAATTGGTAAGCTTACAGCCTAGATCTGTCCAGTTTATGAATTTACTTAGTTTTTTACAGAGATGAGTGTTACTGTGTTGCCCAGGCTGCCCCTGAACTGTGGAGCTCCAGTGATCCTCAGCCTCAGCCGTCCAAGTAGCTAGAACCGCAGTCACATGCCACCGTGCCCAGGTTATGGAAGAGGTCTAACCCTTGTTTTCCTCCAAAGGGAGGAATTTATCTACTGCAGAATTTTCATTTTTCTGGGTCATCATTTCTGACTTTCTTGGCCCCTCAGGACTCTTTTAAGTTAATTTGAACTGATAGCCACAACGGGATTTGACTCTTAGAGATTCAACCTCTGGAAAATTTCAAAGGACAGTTCGTATAATCCTTCAATTGCAGTGTACACCAGTGACTTTGTGTTTGTGGATACATCTCCAAATTGCCAGAAAGCAGAGATAGCTTTCTTTTGAATCATTATGCGTAGGACTTTTGAACTTCAGTGTTTTTTTTTAAATCATTTGTATCTATATATTACTTAGATCCTCTGTAGCTGCAGTTTGGTGAGGCATGTATAATTTTCTGCTGTATTAAGTTCATCAAATGGAAAATATTCATTTCTAGGTATATAGCATTTTGGGCATATTAAAGACTGTAAAATGAAAGACATATTATGTGATTTCACTTGTATGAGGTATAAAGAATAAGTAAAATCAGAGTCAGAAATCAGGGGAAAGGCTACTAGAGAGAAGAAGGGATAGGGAATTATGATTTGAAGGGTATAGAGTTTCTGTTGGGGATGATTAAAAAGTTTTGGGTATAGATCATGGTGATATAGCATTGTGAATTTATTCAGTGCATTGAATTGTATATTTGCAAATGGTTAAAGCGATAAATATTGCACGTACATTTTACAACCCCCCTACTTTTTAAGATATGCATGTATGCACATGTCCATATACAGATATATGCATCATTCTCCGATAAAAAACTAGTTCTTCCAAGTTATAAAAAATGTTTGTTTCTGGAAGTTACATAAAAAAGTTTACTTTCAAAAATGGAAAAATTTATTTTCAAAACTGGCTAACATATATTACAAAGATCTTCAGATTAATTTTGTCTCTTTTCCTTAATTTATTATAGAATGCCAAGTTAGAGAACTTTTGTAACTTTTATAACTGTCAGAAAATGTCACTATTAAGTTTATTTTTTTCCTATAAAGTCAAAAAGACTCCTTGTGTTGCTTCACCATGGAACAAGTGTAGTTTTTAGATGCAAGGGAAGACAATCCTGAATCAAAGCCCAGTTCTCAAATTAAAGTGCTTTGGAGTAAAATGTTTTGCAACAGTGGGCTCTGGGGAATTTGTGAATCCTCTAATCTCACTTATTTGACTTCACTGACTAGAATTTAATGTGTACTTTCTATTCATGTAGGCTGATAAGAAGTAGCCATGTGAACAGTGGTGATTTGCTTTCATGAAATTGCCCTTAAATCATAATAACAGAGAAGAAAGTAAAATCATTTCTGTGGCAGTCAGCATCTGTTTATCACTTTAAAAACTTCCCTGAAAAATAAGGAAGCATCTATGTGCTTGGTAATGTGAAAATACAAATTATCTCAAGTTTATAGCCAATTGCTTCTTTAAAAAGGTCACATTAAAGACATGAAATAACCTTGGGAAAAGGAAGCTTGTTAGCACTTTTGTCTTTGAACTTCATTATTAAAGTGCTAGCCCATGCAGATAGGGAAGAGCTGAAAGAAATATATATGGAAGAGATGGTATGTGGATGATAACATTGCCTTAAGAACCTTGGACAGTCAACTGAAATTCACAAAGCTGGTAAGAGCTGTTATAACTGCAGATTAAATTAACCTTAAAAAGATCATTTTTATGGTGCCACCACCTGCCTCGCAAGGGAAAGGTCCCTAGTTCGATCCCCGGTACCAAACCAAACCAAACAAAAAAATCATTTCAAAAACTTATTTGGCAAGAATAAACCACTGTGAAATAACAATGGAAATCAGATTCCCTTCATAGTATAAAAGCGACAGAAGGTTGGGGCGTAGCTCAGTGGTACAGTGCTTGCCCAGCATTTATAAAATCCCAGGTTCCATTCTTAGCACTGAGAAAAAAATGTAGTTTATTAAAAAAAATTTAAACAATAGATTAAACATGTCATACAATTGTAAAAAGGAAAATTCCTTAGCCCAATTAAATTTAGTAAGTCTATTTGAGCAAAGAAAAACAAAATAAGGCATATAAAAAAAATTGAGGGCTAGAGGTATAGCTGACTCACAGATCCCTTGCCTAGCATGTATGAGTGCCCAAGACTAACCCCCAGCATAGGAAGGAGGAGGGTGGCTTATTGAAAATCAGGCATCTCTCAGAACCAGGGCAGGTGCTATGAACTCCAACTAACAATGTAATCTGACAGCATTTATAGAAAAACAGAAGTGAGGCATAGAAAAACAATCTAATTGGCTACATCTTAGTCAATCAACCTATCTTTCCAGATTAACTAGTTATTTGGGTACAGCCTAATATTAGCTAATTGGCCACAGGGCTTCCTGCAACCTGCTAAGGTTCAGTCAATATGATTAAACTCAATATTGATTTGATCTGTTGGTGCTTAGTACAGGTACCCATGGCAAATTCACAGCCAAATTCATGGCCCACTGTTGTATTATTGAACACAGTGCTTCATTGACAGCCGTTACTCAAGTATTTGTTTTCTTTTTTGAAACTTTTATTTCAATGTAACACAAGTAGATATTAATAAATAAAATATTATTAAAACACTCTTCTTACCTCTATGAAAAAAAGCAAAATTTCATAACAAATTAAAGAATAACATTAGTTAACTAATAACTGTGCACCATAATCTTAAAAGAATTGCCAAAATGTTAGAGTTCAAGTATTTTTTAAACAAATAAAAATTAATAAGATAATACTATGTCTTACTACAAGATTTAGAAGCCATTAGTGAATAGGAAGACACATTGTATTCTTAGATGGGAAGGGCAGTGTTAGATCTTCATTTTCCTGCTTATTATATAAATAGTCTAATTTCAATGAAAATTGTGGGATTATTTCTTTCTGAGGAAGATAGGCGCAATCAATTAAATCCATATCTAGGGCAATTTTGGTTGTCTTTTTTTTTTTTTTTTTGGTACCAGGGATCGAACTCAGGACCTTGCACTTGCAAGGCAGGAGGCAGAACCACTGAGCTAAATCCCCGGCCTTGTCATTGTTTTTTATAGTAATGCGTGAGGGATGCCCTGCCTTACACGTATTGAGATTGTTAGGAAAGAGGAAAATAAATAGAGGTATGAGCTCAAAGGACAGGTTTTATTTCACAACAAACTAGAGAAGGACCACTTTAGCACTAGAGACTAGACAGGCTACTCTCATACAGGCTGTAGAGTTTTTATTGGGTCATGGGCATAAGTGTGGAGGTTTCAGTGAAAAGGACCTATGGTTACTTGTTAGGGACAAGGCTTTCGAATGCACAGGGAGTTGCTTTTACTTGTCAAGCGCAGGGCTGAGTAATGAGGGGAGTTATGGATTACATGTCTGGTTACTGGGCCTTATCAACTCATGCTTTGTAGCAGATACACAGGCACAAGTGTGTGTGGGGAGGTTAATGTGATCTCTGTTCAGCTCAGAATGGCAGCGGTCAGATTCTCTCAAAGATCGTAAAGTTAAAGATCAAACATGTTGTAGAACAGATGTCCGTGAGCAGATGGAAAGACCAGGAGTGTGTGTGTTTCGGTGATCCCATGTAGGCTCAGTGTCTTCTGCTTGCTGGCATTGGGGATACATCTGTGGGGCAGGCAGATAACCTGCTTGCCCAGCACCTTACAGAAGTGGGGAGCATGAACATAGGTAGCAGGAACATGGGGATGTGGGCCATGAAGGGGCTAGGGCTGTGGCAGTTGCAGGGAACTCACTGCTGCTCTTGGTTCTCCCCTGGGGCCATAGGTGGCACTCAGCTGCCAAGTTCTGAGACTTAGAACTGATGCAGTGACTGCTGTACTGAATCCACGGGATGAGTGTATGGGAGAACCAAGTACCAGCTCGGGAGGGCTGCAGCAATGGGGCAGTGGGAAAGGACATCTGACCAGAGTGACAGGAGGTGGAGTAGATGGAGAGCTGGTGTCAGGTCATGGGGAGCATGGGGTCCCGTTTAGGATCTGGGCCCTGTGCTGGGACAGCAGGGAACTATTACTGGATTTAAAGCAGGGAATGACTTGCATCCAGTCCCAATGTACGAGGTGTGATTTTAAAAATACAGTGAATGTTATACTCCCCTTCACTTGAACACTTATTCCATCACCTTTGCCACTTTCTGAAGCAGTTGTGAAAGTCCTTTTTCATTAGTGTCTTTAGCTGTCCTGTTATGAATGCCTTGATGTCCTGAATCCATTCAAAATGTTTACCTTTCATGGTCATTTTTGCTTTAGAGAAGAGCCAGAAGTCACACAGTGCCAGCTCTGGTGAGTA